TTTGGCGATGAAAAATACACTGTAGAAGAGATTTCTCGGTTAGCGTGATGGCATTCGGAGTGCTTTTGTAGTTCTGAAGAAATGTGTTAATGACGGTGCTTACCATTCCTCCTCTTTCCTACTTCAATACGCACGTTTAAACGCATCCAAAAATAGTTCTAAATGACCATTTTATTGTATGTGACAATATGAGGAACGTAAGTGCTGGGTTACACGTTATCTGCAAGAATCTGGGAATGCTGCTGGAGTAAATTAGGTACCATTGTCAGTTATCATGGTTTCAGAAATGCCAAAACAGCTTGAGAAACTAGTCTGTTTGGTTATAGTATCTCCCGTCGTGATTTTTGACGTGTTGTGTGCGCAAACAACAAAAAATATATTTATCCCTGCACTGACCCTTCAAAGTTAACATAAATCTTTTGCCATGGAGTTGCGGTCATTAGTCACGGTTACCAGGAAGACGTTGACGGAATGCTTGTCCAGAAAGCGCAGTTAAGATCACTTCAATATATCTTTTCCATTTATTGATTCATATTGCGGCAACAAACGTAGCTACGCGCCAAGGATTTCATTCTAGTTACACTTCGATGGCAATTGCGGAGTTGGTTCACCAGTTGTTGTAGGCGTTTTGACATTACAATTCTTGAAACATAACAGTGTTACTTTACTAGAATGCGATATGTCTAGTGAAAAGAAGATACCAATAGTCGCCATAGACCGAAAGTTTTGTCCTAAAATCTTCTACCAACTAGCTGATTACTGACCAATTAAGTTATCCTATAAGTTAGCTATTCTTTCAAAATTGATCTGCGCTCCACCATATTGGATATTTCCATAACAGATACTGATAACGGCATTGAGCGAAGAGTTCAACGTCAGCACACTACTTGGTAAATAAATCAATCATATTGAACGGATTAAGTGCAAATCATGTGCGGACCAAATTGCAACGCTTCGCATCATCATAGAACAGAGTATAGAATGGCAGTCAACTCTCTACCTCACCTTTATCGACTTTGAGAAGGCCTTTGACAGCGTTGACAGACAAGTAATTTGGAAACTGCTTCAATACTACAGAATACCGCAAACCTTTATCAGCCTCATTCAACAACTATATGAAGATGCCACATGCCAAGTAATTCACAATGGGAAGCTCAGTGATGCCCTTAGGGTGAAGTGAAGACAGGGGTGAAACAAGGTTGCCTACTATCCCCCATGATATTCCTGATTGTGGTGGACTGGACCATGCAGCAAACAGTGGAGAGTGAGAAGAGGAGGATACGCTGGCCGGACTGCGGAAAAGAACCTAGAAGATCTGAATTTCGCCAACGATGACTTGTGTCTGATGTCACACAAACTTGAAGATCTACAGGCGAAAACTATCAAGTTGTCAGAAGAGGTGGGACAGCGAAGACGGGAATTCAAGTGAATATAGAGAAGACAGAAGTGATGAAGATACCGCACCAACCACAACAACAAACTCCAGTCACCATCAATGGGAGAAACTTAAAGGAAGTAACCTCTTTCACCTATCTAGGAAGCACTGTTTCAACTACAGGTGGCTCAGACGAGGATGTCAAAGTCAGAATCGGAAAAGCAAGACAGGCATTCATTAGCCTGAAACCAGTGTGGAGATCTTCTGAACTCGGCTTGTGGAACAACATCCGGATTATCAACACCAACGTCAAGTCAGTGCTTCTGTGTGGTTCAGAGACTTGGCGCGTTACGAAAGTGATTTCCAATAAACTACAGACATTCATCAACAACTGTCTACGCTGGCTCACTACTGAAGATCAGATGGCCAGAATAGTCAGAATAAGCAACAAGGAGCTCTGGGAACGAACCAACCAAGAACGTATCACCAAACAAATATGCAGAAGGAAGTGGGGATGGATTGGGCATACACCGAGAAAGCCGACTGGGGACATCACGCGTCAGGCCAGTTGCTCGAGTGGAATCCCCATGGGAGGCGACGAGTTAGACCTCCGAGGGTGATATGGAGGAGATGGTGAGAGGAGGAAATGAGAGCTTGTGGGCTGTCGTGGAGCCAGGTTGACAAGATTTCAGAGAACAGAGTGTAATGGAGACGTGCTACTGAAGCCCTATGTTCCGTTAGGAACCCAAACGTCAAATAATATAATAACAATTGGACAGATTACTCAGTCATTCTAACCAACTGCTAATGACCAAAATAAAACGTGAAAATATGTTGCTGAAACAAAAATTCCTATCCTATTTATTTCTATTAGACTACATCTTGAACCTGATATTTACGTTAAATAATAAATCACAAAGACATTAACAACCTTCAATATAATGGTGTTTAGAGTCTTCTAATGATTTTATTGAACTAAACAAGCTACGTGAATAATTCATTACTGCATGACGGTGATAAGGATTTGGGCACGTGAACGGAATATCACGGCTTGGAATTCGTATTACTTGTAAGTAGTTAATAAGGTTGAATCAATTTTCCCCACTAGTGTATTATGAGAATATTCTTGAATGAGCAATACCAGAGAATAAAACTGAGTACAGTATTCAATAAACTTAAATTAACTGTTGACATCAGAAATTGTTTGGAGGTTTCATCATCGAAATTCAATCGTAGACATTTCACTATAATGCTTGATGACATCGTCAGAACTAACTGGATGTTAAGTTGCATGAATGCTTTGGTTGCTTTAATTGATTCCGTAAAATCGTTAGTCAGGAGAGAAATTTTCGCAACTTCACTTTCTGGAATAAAGTTCATTTGGACCACAATAGAATAAAATCTTAATTGTAGAGTTGTGGTCGCGGTTACTATCGTCATGCTTGACTTTACTTGGATGATTTACAATTGGTTGAGTGATTGATCGCTTCCTAAGTAGATACTGGACCAGATCTATATCAGTCAATGAGAAATTGCGTGTAACCTAGGAGAGGTTATTCAAGTGCTGAGGATGCGTATGCAAGAAAGTGTACCAAAAACCTCCCTGACAAAATTACCACATATCAAGAACTTGAGTAAAATATCTGAAAAGTTGCTTATTCAACATTCCGAAGGATAACCTATAGAGCAAACGAAGGTTTCGATATTTTCAACTACGTACTAGTAGCTGCAGTTACGAATGTTAGAAATACAACTCTGAAAGAAGTTATACTGACAACAGAGTTATTTGCATTTCATGCTTTAAGGCGAAAATCTAATGGGCCCATACATCACATAAATTAACCAGCTATTTCCCGAAAAAGCCATGATTATTTGTTTTCCATTCGGTTAATATTAACGATCAGCAGGTTAGGTAATGACTACTAGTGAAAAAGCGAGTTTCAGAACACATCTGCAGAAAAGTATCGTCATCTTTGATTAGACAGGTTATTATAACCAGAAGTTACCGTGTACATATCCTTCCGTTTCTCCTCGCTTATACTGCTTCCATGATGGTGTCAGACTGATATCGAATGTAGCACCATCTGTGCACAAGGAAGATTAAGAGAAGTGGTTGAAAAGCTTCAAATTCTTTCCCAGTATATTGTACAAGATTACCACGAATACTAGGTGAATCAGGCGAATAACACCACCCCCCGGCGGTATCGCAATACATATAGATAGAAATTTTGGCAACGGAAGTTCGATTATCTCTATATGGCGCCAAAAGCTCCAACATTCAGCCATAATTCCGATTTCATGGAAGAGAATACAATTTCATAAAACAACGCCATCAATACCATCTAAAGGGGTGGGAAATATGAAGATGAGGTTATATGGGTAGAGTAAGTAAGTTCAAGGATATAATTGGTCACCAATGATCCAATGACATTTCGGAGCTACTAAAAATAAACCAAAGAACGATACATCTTCATCTATGACCCAGCGTGTAAGTGAGATGAAGAACGCAAAGAACGTGAGATATCAGCATCAGTATAGTCGTGAATAGATAAATAACTCAGGAAGCTGAACAAATCATTCCGTAAAAACGAAAAATGACGGGAGAACACAATTAAAGGAAGACAAACATATACATCTCTAAACATTATTCATTCATAAAAAGTGACATCACAATTTTCGTTATCTCTATATGTAATAATAATAGTAATAATAATAATAAACGCAGGTAAAAATCTTAATTGTCACAAAATAAAGGCTGTTTGTATACGCGAAAAACATAACGACAAATAAAGAGGGAAATACTAGGAGGGGTTTTAATTCCCAAAAATTAGTAAATTATTCATTATCTTCTGAAGAAACTATTCAACAGCGAGACAATGAAACAAATTGTTCGAAGGACACATTTTTTTTTCTCCATATAAATAGGCAAACGTGGCAGAAGCGTGTATTTGTGTGAATAACACAGAAACCTGACGATTAACTCTTTGAAGGGAAAGTAAAAATATATTTTAGGAATTAAACTGAACAGATTAAACGACAATTCCCCAAGAAAATTTATTGTTACATGTATGCATACACGTATGTAATCTTAAAAAAAAATAAAGGGAAAGAGAACTTCTGAAGAATTACAACGGTATTGATAGTTCTAGTATTAATAAGTAATACTCTGATCAGAGTGAAATAAAACCATTAGAAATAGAAAGAGGCAATGTGTGTAAATAATGAACAAGTAACCATAGTGTGAACATTAAACATTGAAGAAGCATTCTTTTTATTTCTGTGCTTTTTGTAGTAATTCCTCAAATCACATTTCACAAACCAGTAAGAAAAGTGAAAATCTATTCAGATACACATATAAACTGTGGGAAAAACACAAAGTAGGAAGAATGGAAGCAAAAAAATTTAATTCACAAATTAACACAAAAAGACTAGTCACAAACCAAACTGAAAGACAAAGTCATAGACGACAGTAAACTGATGGCATACATGAATGGATATGAATAATTCTTTTATCATCAGTTTGATATATATATATATATATATATATATATATATATATATATATATATATATATATATATATTGTGCAACACAACTCATTCTCCAATGATTAAAATGGAATAGTTTATACAATTCTTTTGTTAAGCCTGAGCAATTCCATCTGATGTAGCTGAAGAAGTTGGTCTAGCGCCCCAGCACTATGACATCTAGATGGAGGGCTGTTGGTAATTACTGATTCTAAACGGTGATTAACGGTGTATGTTGTAGAAGTGGTTGTGCTAAGCGCACCATTATTAGACATTACTCCATTCGGTGTCATTCGTAACATACTATTAGAGTATGACGATATAGGGGCACATCCCGCGGAAGGGGTGAGTGAGCCATTCATATAATGCAGAAAATCAGGATTAGTTAGGTTTTTTACAAGGCCACCATTAATACTACTAGCGTTATCTTTCATTAACTGAGGAGGAATAGATGGTGTATGCTCTTCTACCAACTGCTGCTTTGATGACTTCACTGAAGGATGAGACAGTTGAAAAAAACAACGACGACATACACGAGCTGGTTCACCCGGCTGAGTTGGCACAGCAATGCGACGATCCGAACAATTCCCGCAGAATATATAACCGCAATTTCTGGTAGGCAAATAAAAAATAAAAACTGCTAATCAACCAAGAAATCACGTTTGCATCAATTTGATGCAAACTTTTTTATTAGTTGAAAAGAATAATGCCACGATTAACGGACTATGACATCAAAAAATTATCATCGAACAAGAATATCAACTGACCTCATCAATGTGCACAGCCATAAAAGATACAAATAAACAGCCTCAGCACTAGATTCCTTAAAATCTATTTTTTTACATCTTTTCCATGATCCTCCCATAAATCACGTTGAAATACGACTCACATGAGCCCATATACTAATAGAGGTCGGACAGTTCAACCCAGTACAACAACTGAGGACTCCAAGCATACCAATAAATAGAAGTAGTACCCTTTGTACTAGAGGTAGCTATCGTGCCTCAGTGGCCTAGTGGATAACGCCTTGGCATTTGAAACGATGTGTACGAGGTTCGAGTCTCAGTGGGAACAACATCACTCACTGGTGTGCAGGTAAACCCAATCGATGAGTCGCAAATAGGACGAAACGCGCGACCTGGATTCCTCTCCTAGCCATAACCAAGTAGATTACAATAGGATTCATTGTTAAAATATGTTCTGAATGCATGAAACATACTAAACGACATCACTAAGATCATAAAGTAAAGCTAACACGTTTATTTCTTTCCCAATCAATTCTTATTTTCAATAAAATAGTTTGTAAAAGATTGCGAGAATAAAACAGTTACCTATAACGAAGATCATACAAATACCTCGAGATGACAGTCACATATGTACAGTCATAGGTGTTTTTTATAAGTAGTGTCATTGAAAAACTTTAGTTAACGACGGTGGAAATATGGAATCAATGGAACGTATCAATTGATGAAACTACTCGCAAACTGAAGCTACAGGTAATTAAGCCTTGACCACTTCACTTCATTCAATTCATCAAGATACACTCGACAATTTCCACCTTTTAAAGATCATTCATAGTAATAAGTGACACTTTATTTAGTGCGGTAATGGGCAAGCAGTATGCATATAAAAACACATTTGTCTTCACGAACTCGAATATACAAGGAGTAAGGATTGAACCAAAAAAACTAGAATTTCTTTTGTTGATATTTCATCGGCTGTTTACACAATATATAGCATGTACTAAAAAGGGATATACTTTATGCAATGAAATACAGCTGCCTAACAGGCAACAGTATGGTATAACGAATAACCTAAGTACTCGGACAAATTTACCAATGTATGTTAAGTATTAGTAATACATCTAACTCAAGAGAAATTTCAGTGTTTTGATGTTCGGAAAATAAGAAAACATAAGAAGATCAATAAATAGATTACATGGTGATAAACAACAGGAAAGCTAACTAACAGAGAGTGGAACTCAGTTGGCGAAAATTAATCAGTTTTGTGTGACCCAAAAATTGAAACGTTTCAGTCACAAGATTAGGTCATCAAATGAGTGAAAAATTAGGTTACCAGAACGAAGACAGAGTGGTGACCACTTCCTCTTAGCAAATAACTTCAGGTTCAAACTTTTGATAGCTAAAACGCTATCGAACTTCAGAAGACTAGAAATCCACTATCTGTTGACTAGATTTAAGGATTTCAAGATGTCTACTTCATTTACTGAGTTGCTAAAACGCAAAGCGTCCCATGAAGTACATTTAAATTCTCTTGTATATGATATTTATATATCACGCCGCAAGCAGCTGATGAGAAATCGATGAGATAATAAAATGGATTCGTACTTTGAAGCTGCAATTGTTATTCTTTTTCTTTGTGACTATATGATAAGCGATTTCCATAACTGATTAGTCACTGGAGGGTAACCAACTTCATGCTGTCTAGTCCTAAGTGCTGACCGAATTCTATCGATCATTTTGCAAAGAGGCCATTAGGCTAGTTGACTCAACATCGCGATGTCCTTTGAAAAATGTTAGTTGGTTTGCCATCCATTAGATATTAAGTCAAGCTGATAATAACCAAGATATAACATATGATACGACAAATCATAAGAGCCATGAAGCTTGTATCCTCCTTTCTGCCTGTGGAATGGGTCTTTCGAAGCAGTCATCAACTGACTCTTGAATGTGGTCAGTTGTCTTTTAATCAAGTAGGTATTGAGCGTTAAAATGCCTGAGTTCCACCATCTAATCGGGGTGGGAGAAAAGCAGATATTAGCGTTGATGAATGTCAGATAAGGCCGATTAGCCTTAGCGGGATAACCTAGACTAGGCACTCGACGCCGTCCCTGCTAAGGATATACCGGAAAAATATATGTAACTTTGGGGCCTTCTCCATCAGTATGAGTGCGTGGCCTGTTGTGGGCACTATTTACATGCATATGCACCTAATTAGAAGTCATCTATATGAACCATGGTAACTGGTCGACCTGTAAAATCAGGAAAGGTTTATAAAACTAAAATAACCAAGATATAGAATTAACTCATGAATTCAATGTTTGTTGAAGCTATAAGACATAAAATTGAATGTACTAGAGGAAGCGTATTTAGGCTTTATCTTCACCAAAATTTTGAAAATCTGTCTACTTTACAATCACGTCTGTTCTTCTTATTTTATGGCTACCTACTTTGGTTTTCCTTTTATCTTCTGCCTAGAAGTGTAGTAACTTAAACCAATGCACTTTTGAGAAAGGCCTTACACGGCTGTCTGTTTGTCACAATTCAATGTATAAGTATTTGTCGAATGTGAATGAGTTGTTTAGTTGGTTAGAAACACTAACCTACGTAATAAAGTCTAGACAGCTAAGCAGTTTGGTAACTTTAAATGAAATAGGCTGTTCACGGTAACCAAAGCGAATTCATTAGAATGTATAAAAACATAGTAGATGCCGAAAGGAGAGACTACCACAAGAATCTCGTGGTGAGGTGTATAGACTGACAGACAAACTACCGTTATATGCATGAAAATTCATACAAGCTATCTAAAGTTAGTCCTGTCGCTTCCCAACAACAGTTACGCAAATAATGTTCCATCCTGAACAGTCAAACCCACTTAATCCCAATAATGCAAAACTTTAGCTCATAAATAAATAAATAAATATTGCCAAAATATTCCAACTGGTGACGTGATCACGGGCAGCAATTTTGCTCAAAATAATACCAAAATAAAAACTTATCATTGTGTGTAAACTTTGCATTGAAAATTTACTTATAGTCCACTAATCCATTACATAGTGCACAAACTTTTCAATCATATATGTCGCACATACGGTCAGGTATTCAAACTACAACTAGTACCAAATGGTTATTTAGTTCAAAAAGTGTTCAAACTACCGAGGTTTTCAAAACTAGGCATTATAACAATCCTCACACAAAAAGTATGGCTATTTGCCTGGTAAATGAACCCAAACATGGTTATTGAGTTAAACCAATTACTACAAACATTTCAAGGTGGAAATCACCCCACATTGACATCAGTTGGAGAACCTGGGAACACTTAACAACTTCCCAGCTGTGTAGTCAGTGATGATGAATACCACCTTGAAATCAATAAATCTCCACAAAACTTCAAACTTAATTATTATAGAAATATTTTACATTTATTTAGCGATAAGGATACTATCCTGTTGCTGAAAACTTGATAGATGAGACAGGATTTAAAACAATACACCATCATCAAAAACAACATAGAACCAGGCATTATTGGGTAACGGTCCAATCTGGCATACATCATATCAGCGCTATACACAAACGATGAGAAACAGAATGTGAAAACTATAAATTGAATCAATATCAAACAGTTTGAGTTTTTTTTAAAACAACTCACCGACAATGATGCTTAGGTCGCATTGCTGAGAATTCAATACGACACAGCGTACAATGATGTGCAATGCAATCTGGTTGCCAAACAATATACTGGGTATCTTCTGCGTCGATTAATTCAAATGAATTTGTGTCACCTGATGCATTCAAGAATGTTGATTCTGTCAGATCAGATGTCTCTTTAGGTGGAAAACCAAATTATCTGGTATACGAGTTTTATGATGAGATTGATTTGACTGATAATTATCGTCTCTAATATTCTATTCATTTGTTTCAAATTTTCGATCGGTAAGTATGAGATGAGTAACGTATAGAAAATAGAAAATTTTTATTAAAAAAATGCATTTCAATAATAATAGTAATGTTAGACAGTAAACATTTCGATGCACATTATTTAGGTGTAAACCTTTACTGAATTTATCCGACACGTAGTACGGAAAATATGCTTTACCATATCCTCTAGCTCTACACAGGAAGGGAGAAGAGAGATAACCAAAAAAATACAACCAAACAATGAACTTATATCTAATACAATTCTACAATCTACAATCTAACTGGTAGTCACAAATCATAAACCCGACAGAATTCAAAAACTCCCAGATCTAATTAGAAATACATAGACAAAATCAAAGTGCTATTATGAAATTTAAAAAATAAAAACACTAATGTCACACGTTAGTAATATTTTGTGATATGGTGATGCTTAACTGCATAAGTTAGAGTAAAATTGCAGCGTCTGTAGCCAAAGTGCGAGATACAATAATTAGAAAGAGTCGAAAGACGTTTTCACGACCGTAGGTGTTTGTGGGAAAGGATGACAAATTATTTCCACTAGTTTATGAAACGCTAAATTGTTAACAGTTTCAGACCCTTGACTGGAATATTGCCAGCTGCTTATAAAAGTTGCAGAAATAAAACAGCATTCATTATGAGACAGAAAGTGCATTGGTTTATTTGAATACCATTTCAACGAGAAGGTGAAGTAATCACATTTAAGCGGTTAATCACTTCATTGCTTACGAATCTGTAAAACGTGGTGTGCGGAAATGATTAGGTAATGCAGAGTCAAAATAAAAAGCACCACCTAAAACTTATATAAAGCAGATCAAGACGCACTGAAGAGCTTCATTTGAGGACCAACGATACAAAATATCAGTACGTAAAACAAAGTTGTTTTGTCGGGGCATTAAGTGAGAAATGACAAAGTGAACCACATGATGACACTGAAAATTAAGACGATAGCAGTATCGAATTCGGAATAGAAACCGAGATAGTTCTTGAAGGGTGTGACATTCTATGGTCACGTTGTTAAAAATTCCAACGACCTAGTCGCACCACTGCATAAGTTGGTGGATTCGTTTATTTGAAACCTGAAACGAGGCAAAGTAACAGGATCTGACGGTTTGCCACCAGTAGTTCCAAAAAAGGAAGTAGAAAATTACTGAGAAGAGCAATTTCAGTACTAGGTGATGGATAGGAATCAGAGGTAGTCACATCAGACTGGTCTACTTCACTGCTCAGTCCAGTCTATAAGAAAAAGAAATCTCATGATAACCTTACGGAAATCAGTTTGACTACTAACATGGTGTCCAAGATCCTTGAGTCTAAAGTTATCCGATACCTAGCTGGAGATCAACAACAGCAAACTCAAAAAAACGAAACAGGTTTCATCCTTGGACGAGGGTGCATTGATCAGATCTACACTTCACTTTGGCAGGTTTGGGAACACATTCATACTCACTGTAGGCTGATACTTCCCATATTTCTTGGGCTGAAGGTGAAATTTGACTCTGTCGACCAACAGATGTTGTGACAGCGTCTGACTATGAAGGGAGTACCGTGCAAGTGTGTAACGTACTAATCAGAATTCTCTGCTCGAACTCATATAGCTGTGTAAGGGCTTATAGCAAGTTATCGTCTGAGGTAAAATGTAGCATTTCGAAATCAGAGGTGGTCCCCCGTTAGACTGACAACTGCATAACAGAACATAACGGACTGCAGAGCGGCATACTAATCCTTTAACAGGCAATCAGATGTCTCAACTGCCAGCGTGAGATGATGATATTCGACAAATGCCAAACGAATTGTATCCCAACTGCAATTTTGTCAACCGCCAACCCATCACAGCTGACTCCACTTTTCAAGTAAGTGAAACGGTCGACACATTAGACCATTTCACTATCACGAAACTGGGAACCGCTGAAGACCAATCCTGAAACATATTATTACATTAAACAGGTGCGAAACGCATTTCAAACACAAATTTCCGCTCAACAAGTTCACAAGACCCTGCATTTAGTCAGCGTCTTCATCCAACACTGCAATATCGTCATCCGCATGCTCTCTAGGGATAGGTCAGTCAATCCCCGTCAAATCAGATGTACCATTTCTAACACCTATAATGAAGTTGAACAGGAACAGTAACAGTGAAAATCCTTAACGGACGCAACTAGTTGTCGCCAATTCAGATAACTCGCATTAATCCCTTACACAGCTATATGAGTTCGAGCAGAGAATTCTGATTAGTACGTTACACACTTGCACGGTACTCCCTTCACAGTCAGACGCTGTCACAACATCTGTTGGTCGACAGAGTCAAATTTCACCTTCAGCCCAAGAAATATGGGAAGTATCAGCCTACAGTGAGTATGAATGTGTTCCCAAACCTGCCAAAGTGAAGTGTAGATCTGATCAATGCACCCTCGTCCAAGGATGAAACCTGTTTCGTTTTTTTGAGTTTGCTGTTGTTGATCTCCAGCTAGGTATCGGATAACTTTAGACTCAAGGATCTTGGACACCATGTTAGTAGTCAAACTGATTTCCGTAAGGTTATCATGAGATTTCTTTTTCTTATAGACTGGACTGAGCAGTGAAGTAGACCAGTCTGATGTGACTAAAATAGACAACGACAAAATAGTCGTCAACATGTTGAGAGTAGACAATATTACTCACTCAGGAAAAAGGTTAAGATTAAGTACATACAGAGCCCTAATCTGGTAAGATAATGATGCGAGCTAGGTGGCAGTGATTCCAAGATGTCTGTGTTACGAAATCACTCATGAACGCCACGAACTAGAATATACCAGAACGGGGGACTCTCTTATGATTAAGTGTATACTGATCGGAAATGAGAGACGATATGGCAAATTTCGTGTACGCCTATAACATAACATGAATCTTACGACAATGGGACAAATGAGTAAGTACAGGTAACCAAATCTTCAGTGGATCGGTAATATATTTGAATGCCGAATAAAAGACGAGTATAACGCTTAACAGTTGGCTCTATGCCTGTACACGCTTGAAAATTATGACTACTGAAGGTAAGTCACACTGATTCCAGGTGTTCGATCACTACCGACTGCCCTCGTACTATCCGCTTAAGTGTGGTATTACAATCATATAAACAATGTGAAAGTTAAGCAGTTAGCATATGGTGACTAAGACAAATCAGTTTATATGGTTTTGAACTCTAACCGACTGAAATGTTCAACAATGCTAGTAGGAGTAAGGATTAGGGAAGAAGAAAGCGAAGGATAATCAAAATAAGGAATAGAGTCAGTTCATCAAAAGTATGTAGGCTTCCTGGCTGTTTACGAGATAATCGAAACTGATGACCAAATAACGCGGCTTACGATATATTGCAATAGTAAAGATGAGTTCGTGTTTTGTTTCCACCTAAATCATAATGTCATGTGTTGATTTTTCTTTTACTTCTTTTTGCAGCCTTCAAAGCTTCGTACTTCTTTTTTTAAAATCGTAACTTGATAAAATATGTCAAAACTTAAGTTGCTGAGCAGTAATGCCAGATGTACATCTTAATTTAAAATTATCAAATAAGAAATGAACTCAAAAAGATGATGGGTTTACGCCACTCACACTTTCATCAACTGACGTAGAAACAAACAATTCATTGGTCAATATATCTGGTCCTTTGGATTTATTACTATTATTATTCATTTTCCTCTGTTCATACGATGATAATACTGATGAGAGTGATGAATGGTCATTACATGAAAGTGGTGTACTTGATGTTTGTTGGGTAGCATGCATTTTAGTCAAGTCTAGGAGTTGTTTTAACCTCTCTGTCTCCGAATTTAATCGTGCTATTTCCAACTGTGCATATTTCAGTTTAGCTTCTAGTGAAAGTATAGACTGCTTTTGCGTTTTACGACTATAATGTTCTTGGCATAACTGTGAATGAGCATGAATTGTTAATCGGTCTACAAGCATAGGTAAGCCATCCCAATCCGGAAAACATGATAGCGTATTCATCTGAAAAAGTTAAAAAAATCAAAATATCAACATATAAACGTCATGCGTCAATAGATATGAATATACGCCGTTACGAAAGACTTCTTTAGGCTTCTACAAGACAAATATTCATAATCATAATGAGTAGATTAACGTTATCAAGTAAACAATAAAAAGTGCATAACGTAACATAAAACCATGACTAGATCATGAGGAAAAAATTATTAGAACTACAGATACTTCTTAAAAAGGATATCACTGCATCAATCAACTGACAAATATTTATGAAAAGTAATATAATTCGGTAAACATATGCAGATTAGTACACTAAACTCCGACATATATAAATTGTATGAAAACTAAGAGCGATAGCCAACTGAAGCAGGAGTGGATGTGAATCTCTAAGTTGAGCGCTTAAACTCGTGTTTTTTAATCTTACTAGTAATAGATTGTAATCTTATGACACTGGTTGTTTGTTTTTTTAAAGGACAGCAATGAAACTCGTTGACTGAACTGATAAACATCTCAGTGAGTGATGGTGCATCATTAGGAGTCGAGTCCAAAACCCATTACTTCAAACGTTCAAGTGTTACCTACAGGATTCCTGAGTCAAGAAAACTGAAATTTGTTCAGGTGGTATAAATTCACTACTGTTAGTTTTTAATCCTTCCCAGTGTTGATTTACAGGACCAAAATGAATATTCCATACTATTGTACAGTCACTAAACGGATGCTTCAATATAATAACTGATAGACACGAGGCGTACGCATAAAGGCCCGGTATGTTATTCAACTCTTTTTCAGTCATCCACATAACTTACCTAGCTAAAGATGACCATTATAATTCATTTCACAAACCATTAAGCGACGACACACTGATGTCAGTGGTGTATGTTCGACAGATAGATATGTCATGTATGACCGGCATCAACCAGATGTTCTTCGGAATCCGTGGTTAAGCACGACCATTACCGACCCAACATCACTTACAGGTACCTCCCGAAGAAATAGCCGGAAGGTGTCAAACACACCCACAACTCCGTCAGCACTCAAGTTCCCTCAGATCGTTATCTACCTTCCGCATCTTTGCCTTTCGACCTTCCTTCACATTTCTCGGTACATATTCCTACATTATCTTTAATTACTTCCAGCTCTGCAGTTCTCGACTATGATTCGAGTTCATATAACAGCACCATTGATCTCCTGAAACCACGCTCCAAAATATACATTGAAGCTTTCAATATCCACACTCTCCGTCAAATCAATCAACAGGCTTTGCTAGACCAAAATTGACAGCTCAGGCCATGGATATGTGCTGTGTTTGTGAGACACGCATTTAGAACCCACATATGATTATTCACTTAACCTCCCAAGGACACTAAGGTGAATCCACAAAATTTACCCTTCAGGTTCCGGGAACTCTGATAGCTAGTTCTCGTGGTATTGTAGGTGTGTACATAGCATTAGGTGCCAGGGCAGAAAGTTCACCTCCGGATTAGATCCCAGTTGGCAGTCGCCAATGCGCTGTTTGAACGAAGGGTACAAGGAAACTATTGTCTGCTACGTTGCAATTTCTGGTTACTTATCCACTGAATGCAGCCAAACGAATAAATGATGAACGTTTGCTGCAACTGTGTTCAGACAACCACTTTTTCTCTAATCAGCAAGAACTAACTAAACAGAAAGACATATTATGTGATGTATGCCCACCAACCTCAACTCAACAGCGGACACAGATCATATTGCAATCATTCATTGCTGGAGAGGGTCGGTGGAAGATTACCACTCTTTCATGAGCGCGTGTTTGAACAGTGATCATACGATGGTTTGAGCATATGTTCGTCTGTTTCTAAATAGAAGCGGAAAAACCACAGCAACATGACCATAATGAGAACAGTTCGACAAATAGAATACTAAGGCTACTTTCATTAAGAAAATGGCTAGACAATTATCGGAACAGAATAATATCACTCATCCACAAAAAGACTAGTACCATTTCCAGTCTACCGTAAAAACCGTATTGAATACGGCAGCTGGTTCGCAGAAGCTGATTAAAAAGCCTAGTGGATATCAGCAGCTTCTTCTGAATTATTGGATGCGCACAAATGCGACCCTGTAGACTCCAAGCATAATGAGGAGAGGAAGCAAGATGTAGACTGATAAAAGTCTACGTAATGACTGACAACAGTGGTGGACAGTGAAAGCCAAAGAGATGATAAGCACTGGCGATAGGTAACCGTAGAAAGTTATGTACACTTATCAAGGAAACTGGAGAGAGAACATCAATGGTTGCTGAGACTATAATGCAGAAGACAGGAAACCCAACAGTTACAAAAGACCAGAAAGCTGTAAATAACCTTAAACGAGGAAGAGCAGCAGAGACAGGCGGACTAGTTACAATCTGACAGTGTCTAGGGTTCTAAGTTCGATAATTATCAGATGTCTAAGTGGAGCTTAGGGACAACAAACGTAGATCCCAGACCTGGTCGTATCGAACGGGCATTCACACTCCGTCAGATTCTGGAATACGAGCATACTGACCGATAACCGACATCAGCCGTGCTTCTCAACCTGAAGATGGCATTCAACTACAGTGATGGACAGGTCCTGTAGCAATGTCTTTCACTGAAACAGCTTCCAAGTAAGTAAAGCATTATAATGAAGGTTCTGTACTCGAACACTCATAAGCATGTTAAAGCCTGTGGTGAGTTCTGTGCGTCAGCTGGTATCTGTCTAGCATGCCCACTTTCTCTGTTCCTATTCACCTTTATCGTAGACATTCTTACGGAGGTCTGTCTCTCGTCATGTGACTTCGTGGTGACTGATCGTATTACAAGAGAATTCTTGGTAAACAAGGAGTATGTAGATGATATAGTCCCGTTAGGTGCATAAACTGACAAAACAAAGAGTCTATCGAACACTTTGAGTGGCGTTTTCAGAATGTTTGGGATGCGTTTCTCGACACCCAAATGCAAATTGTTGCTCCAGAACTGGTTTGCGTTGGCACCTCATCTAACAACACAGAGTGAAATGGTTGACCGGCGTTGACCATTTCACTCACCTACGAAGTCGTATCAACCCTACTTGGTCAGTGACTGGCGAAATCTCTGCACAGATACAAAAGACTCGATTAACCTTCTTCAACTAACGCCATTCATGGCGTCACCGTGATATCCGATTGCATATTGAAGGTTGATTGTACTGGTCTGCAGTTCGCTCTGTTCTACAGTGTGATTTTGAAGGGTGACCACTGAAGTTGGAGAGAATGGGAAGGTTTCAAGTGGTTGACGGTTGCTGCTTCCGTATCCATAGACTGTTTCATGATTCCACCATATCAGTAATGCAGAAGTCAGGTGTAGAGTATTAGGGAGGAGAAGAAAGTTAGTCAGTCAATGAGGTTGTGACCCAGGTGGCTAGCACATGTGTTGTGTTACACGCGCGTAGTCACCATTTGGCCTGTCGCACAGTATCAGAGGAAATAGGTTCAGGCTGGTAAAAGGCTCAGGGAGGCGAGAATGAAACGTTGGGTCAGTGCATGAAGTCTTTGCCCGTTGGTCTGAGCCACATAGAGGAATGAGGACTACCTGGTTGGGCTCAGCGTGACAACAGAAACCAGTGGTTGGAGGCTCTAGGAGATATGGCTCAGAATCAATGTCATCGGAGCAGGTGTATCCACACATTAACTTTATCTTAGTAGTCAAACTGATGACTCTGTACTACTTTTACCTGTTTCTTCTTTACTTCCTTGTCTTTCACTATGCGCATTCTAGAATGATGTTCTGATATGAGATGTAGCAACTCGTACCACTACGCAGTAATGCCAGATCCTATGTTGATACTGTCCATCTGTCTCCACTCAAAGTGCCGTTTTCTAAATCTAGGTCTGGAAAATTTAATCGCAGTAGTAAACTAATACCAGCTGAACAAGTTCTGGTTATCGTAAATGAGTAACCTAGTGTTTGAAGTCGGTGGTGCAAGAATGCCCAATCCTTCAAACAGCAACAGCCCTTATTTGTTTGCTATTTACGCTATTGCTGACTGCAGGAAAATCTGAGGAAGGATCAGAATTCTAGAGACTTTACTTCTAGCAACCCAATCCTTTGTTCAGAACTGCAACAATGATGTTTAGACACATAATGTACAAGGAAAGCAAGCATCTGGCCAATGCATCACACCCATAGAATGCGAATTAATAATTCATTTTAAAAGCCAGTACATCCACGTGGTTCCTAATGCACATTTTTGTGCTATATATATATATATATATATATATATATATATATATATATATATACATTGAAATTTTTTCAAGATATCTTCACAGGACTAATTTTCCTTGTAAGTTGGCAACTACTCAACTAATATGTGGTATAACTATTACCCATAGGACTAATGTGACATCAGATCACCTGACTATGTAGAGGAAATGGACTATAAAATATTGATCAACAAGCTTTTTATTCCATATTCAGGACAGCAGCGAGGAAATGTAATATCTACGACTGAGACAAAGGGCCACATGTTTAATTCGTTGAGTAAAACAGATCGAAATACGAATGAAATATGCAGCATGTGCAGTCTATTTCATTGTACTAAGCTATAAGTCACTTCAGCGTCGAAGCGAAATAGACTAATCGTTTCAATAAAAATCATGCTCTGGAACCGAGATCAAGTGAGATTTAAGGTAAGAAAGCAAGTCACTTCATGAAATCGCTCATTTTTAAACTTTTACTTAATGACCTAGATGTCTTACCTTCAAGTAGTGATAAAGGGGGTTCAAACTTTTATTCAAAACCTGCAGTTCAAGAAGTTGTGTATACCATTATCCATCTAGTATTTGATACATCAGGAGCAGTACGGCACAAGAACATACATACAGTTATTAGGCTGTAGTTCTTTTAAAACCTATATTAGCGTCCAAATACCTTGATAAGGTATGTTACCTGGAGTAAGAGTTGACTAGAATAAAATTTAAGGAAGTCAGACTTCAATATATCAGTAATCTATGAAGTCATTGTCGG